TGTTTAGAAATATATGTTTTTTTGTAATTTGAGTGGCAAAATTCTCTGGTTGATCATATGGAATTTGTAATATTAGATATGTGTAGGGCTTTCAAAATGTATGTGATATATACTCGAACAGAGGTTTTTTTTTGATATTTAATTAATATCATGGCAGGATAATATGGCGCCAAGGAAGAATTTGGTTGATGTAGGCAAAAACCAAGTTAAACCTGATGAGACTACCGAACATGCCCTTCGATACAAGGCCAATGAAAGTAAGGACGAGAAAGGTGTTGCAGTAGATGACAGGAATGCAAGTTTTGGATCTGATGCTAAGGAAAATATCCTGAACAGTTTCGAGGAGGTATGCCTTTTTATTTAACTTCATCATGCAGAATGTTGTCGTCTGTAAATCTGCATATGTTGGTACTAATTCATCTTTGATATTGACATGGCTGTTATGTTACATGGCTGTTATGTTACATGTCTGCAAATAATAAACAGTTATTACTAGTCAATATACTTGTATACAGATATACTAATGGAAGTTCTTTTGGAATGGTCACATGATAGTGGCTTCTACTCCATAATGCATGCTCATCAGTTTGTTATTAACATGCTAAGAGAAGACTTTGGAAGACATGAGTAACGGCACCCTAAATATTTTTCTCTCCATTTGGGGCAATAATTCTTAGAATGCGGCAAAACTGTTAGAACACACAAACATATTTAGCGTCATCACAGTTGGGACAAAGCAAAAATAGGTTGTCAACCTGAGCTGTTTCGATTTCTCGTTTGACATTAGTATCAGTTTGTAGTGCTTTTCATTGTTTCACTCTAGTATCAGCAACCACTCTAATTTTTGAATCCTCTGCTCTGATGTTAATGAAACTCTCGCCAGTCCTACACAATGACTCCGTATAAAGATTCTGATGATGAGGATGATGATGATTACGACGAACATGTACAAGAAGCAAGGCGCAGAAGGAAATTTGTTCCTTGTTGGGCTCGGTACGTGAACTGACCATGGAATTTTGCTCACAATTAACAGCAGGATTCTCTGTTTTAATACTGATAAGCATTTCAATGTGAACGGCAAACTGAAAGTATTTTCCACTGTGGTTCTTGAATAAATGGCGTACTACCGTATGCTAACTGTTTTTTTAATATATATAAGAATGTTTTTTGGGGGTTCCATTTCGCTTGGTATTGCATATTGACTCGAGCCTATTAATGACATAGTCTTCATGTTCGATATGCAGAAAGGAAAACTTGGATAATATCTTACTATCCAATAAAGCATTAAACCCTAGAGAAAATTTTGCACAGAAGCTGTCCTTCAACATATCTGAAGGTAACATCCAGTTCATAGTTTTTGTTTGGCCAACAAATTTACTCGTATAATTGCTACTGTGTTGACCTTGTTGCCTCCTTGCTGCCTGTTGTGTGCAGTTCTTTCGGCCCACGTTCTGCAGCGCGTCGTAAGATAGCCTTCCATTCCATTTGATGAAGTAGCGGTAATATGTTCTTCTGGCCTCCATTTCGCCTTGGCAGTCGGTGATGTGTATAAGCTGACCAGCAATCTCTCTCTTCTGTAACCTGTAAGCTAGGAATGATGTACGTAGGAGAACATTGCTGTGCCACTTGACTAGTTACATACTCCGTGCCTAGCATCGATCATTGCTTGGTCAAGTAGTAGTTTGTTTATAACGGCTTCCGTCACATTATTTTCTGATGGAGATTGGGTATGTATCGGAGTGGCAGCATGTGTAAGGAGAGTAGGCAGTTGCAGTAAAGTGAGCTCTTGTGTCCGATGAGTAAAGTTGGACTGTTTTTTGGTGGAAATTCCATTCCATTTCATTTGTTTAGTTGGTGTCAATTGCAACAGAGAAGTGGGTATCAGCTGCAAGTGAGTGTAGAGAAGATGACAGCCTGATAGCCCATTTCATTTCCTTTTTTACTGTAGCAGATAGCCGGTCGCGTGATTGGAATAGGTCGACAGACCAGGTACGATATCAGCTTCAGTGCGCGTCACGAAATCACGGTGAGCGAACAAGCTACGGGTGCGTCACATTAGTACGAACGGCGGGCAATAGACCTGCTGTTGCCAACCGCTGCACGCCGGCGGCCCCAGCTAGCCCCCAGACGTCGACCGAAAACAAGACGTCGTCCTCTCACAGCATGTAACTAGAGCTGCGCGCCAACCTGCACCGGTTACCACCTGACCGATCGACCCAGGGGGGCGCCCGCGCTACACTGGGCCGTTGGTTACCTGCAGCGAAAATCGCCGTCCTTGGCACGACCGCGACCCCTCCCAGACGTTCGGTGCACCGTGTACGTCGCTGTTGGAGCACTTGGATTTTGGCGCAGTGATGAAGAGGACAGGGTGGTGCACTATCACACTACCAGCGGCATGGCGATGTTCCCTTCTTGGGTCGATGATATTTTCGAAGCTGAAGCCATGTCTCGTGCGCTCTTGTATTTCTCGTGTGAATTGGATCGGAGGGAGCGTCGTGATGCTGAGGCGAACAGGTGGCGACGAAATGGCGGTGTGGTGCCACCTCTCCGTCATGCTGGTGAACGCATCTCGCTTTCGTGCGCGCCCCCGCCGAGGTGATCAATTTGTTGTTTTCTCCTGTATGGGTGGCTGTATGTAGGGCAGAGCGAGCGGGCGGTGCTCCTTAAACCTGGCCCAGTCTCCGTCTGTTAGACGAGGTGCGGCGTTGTTCCATGTAGTACTATGTTCACCGTACACGTACGTATAGTACATGTGGGGACGCGAGCCAGGAGCACCGTTCTTTCCGTAGATGTGGACACCAGCAGGCAGCGTAAGGAGATGAAAGCTTTTTTTTTTCGGAAAAACTTTCAATCTATTCATCTTCAATCATGGTAGTACAACGGACACTAGAAATAATAAAAATTACATCCAGAACCGTAGACCACCTAGCGACAACTACAAGCACTGAAGCGAGCCGAAGGCGCGCCGCTGTCATCGCCCCTCCCTCGACAGAGCCGGGCAAACATTGTTGTAGTAGACACGCACGCACCTCGGCGGATCCGCGCACGGTGATTCTCCGGATCTGGCCGGGAGAAACGGACCCGGACGGTACGTGGAGCTGTCTATCTGACATGTGTGTGTATTCTGGGACTCCAGTTGGCTCCCTCTACTCTTCATAACGGGAGGTCTCATTAGATCGGCCAAACCTTGTACAAGCTGCGGCAATGGCACAGTTACAAGCAGCAGCAGCAGGTAGTCCTACGCCGAGACCGAGACGAGCATATTTTGGATGCATGGACCAGACGAAGAGTAGCGGCGAGTAGGAGTCACGTTGCATTAAACTCGCTCACTGCTAAGAAAGAATATCAGCAAGCATATTCTGGTGACTTGCCTGTTGGGTGAGCCGAAGAATCGCTGGCCGCACTCACTGCGCCGTGGGGCCGGGCATGTCGGCGGATCGTACTGGACCAGTTCCGACGCATGGTAACCGTGGCGCATGCGACTGGAACAGAGCAGCATCCATGGGTGTGCTTTCGACTTTTTTTTTTAGGGTAGTGCTTTCGACTTTCGAGGTAGAGAAGCACGTGTGTCTGTCTCTCAGACGAAGCATGGATGCGCGGTACGGTAAGCACTATAGTTTAACCATCGTAAAAAGGGAAAAAGTTTAACCGTCTTCGCAAGTCATAAGTGACATGTGCTAAGTAGACTATCGCTAGCTAGAACTACTAGATATGATAGATAGTACAACCTGAGCTCACAACACCTCGTTGCTAACGAGGAGGGTTAAACTACACGACCAAGACGAGGGAAATGACTCTTCTCATCTCAACTTGGCTCCTCTACGGTTGTACCTCGCCCATGACTCGGCCACGACCTCCGGCACCACCTTCCTCTCGGCCATGGAGGACATCACCTTGGCCCTCGTCACCTTCTTCACCAGAAGCCGCCATGTCTTGTCCGCTTTCCCCATCTGCGATTTCGCCTTGAAATGGCTGCAAAAATTACACAACGCACGTTAGTTTACAGTCTTCTGACATCACCTCACCAACACCAGACGTAAAAAAACAGCTATTAGGCATGCGTCAGATCCGTCATGTGCGTTTGCATGGGGTTCTATTGGCGGCGTTCCCATGGCCGTCCAAGTCGCTTTCATGCAAGAGGACGAAAGCTAGCTAGTACGTCCAATTTCCTTGTATATTGCGATGAAGTACGAACCGATTTCCTTTCGCGGAAAGCGCGCCGGGCACCGATCTCGCCAGCCTGGTCCCTGGTTTATCGATCTACCGTGCGTTTGCCAAAAGGGCCACGTTTCCTTCGATAGAATGTGTGTTTTTCTAGACCAAAATGCGTTTTCTCACCTGCAAAGCGGCACACGGCAGGCCCGGTCCGGCCGGTCGCAGACGGAGGCGTGGAGCCGGAACAGCTGCAGCATGCGCTTGCACCGCGCGCACCCGCCGGGCGCCATCTTTCTCGCGCACGTCGCGAAGTGCCGCATCAGCACCTGCAGGCCCCGGCACGTGCACCCCGCCCTCGCGCACGGCGCGTCCGCGTCCGCGCAGGCGGCCTTGGCGCCGGACTCGCCGGGGAAGATGTGCTCGAGGGAGGCCATGGCCTGACCGAGCTGCCGGCACGCCTCCTGCGCGGCCCTCTCGCGCGCCCAACGCTCGTTCCGCTGGTCGGCGTCCTCGAGGAGCGTGAGGAGCTCGAGCTCCAGCGCGGCGTCGTGGCGCCGCGCGAAGCGCCACCCGTCGGACTGCTCCACGGCCGCGAACTCCTTGGCCGCGAGGCGCGCGCACCGCATGTACAGCCGCGGCGCGTCGCAGAGCCTCGCCAGCTTCAGCATGTCCACGGCGCGCTCCGGCGTCAGGCGCGCCGACACGGCCGCCTCCGCCGCCCGCTTCAGCCACCCCACCCGGTACGCGTGCGCCAGCGCCAGCAGCTGCGTCCAGTTCGCGCCCACCGCCTCCTCCTCCGCGGGCACCACCTTGGACTTGGAGGAGTAGAGGAAGTGGATGAAGGCGTGGACGGCGTCGAAGGAGACGCCGAGGACGGGGATGGTGCACTCGGCGCCCCACCCGCGCTGCGCCCTGTCGATCATCCGCTCCAGCACCGGCGACGCCGAGGCCTGCATATCGCCGCCCGATTTGGAATTAGCCAACGATTCAAGAACACTCAGAAAAGCAAGATCCGCCGCATAAATCTAATATAAGCGGCAAAGTGGCTTACAAGAATGTAGGAATGCGCGGCGATGCTCTGCCCGTCCGACGTCACGACCCGCATGTCCGCCGGCGACGCCCGGTAGGAATCGAAGCCCGCGCAGATCGTCATTTTGATCGCTTCCAAACTCCAGCTAGCTAGTACCCTCGCGAAGCCTCCGAATTCTCCTGGTCGACAAGGGCAACGGGACGCGTAGCAGAGCACCAGAGCACCGAGAAGCCCAAGAAACGGAGCAGATGGATCTCGGACCGGGCGATGTAGAAAGAGAATGAGAGGAAGTCTCGAGCTCAGCGACAGCTATATAGTGTCGTGGACAAAGGTAGCCGACGACGACGTGTAGCACAGTGCGTGCACAGCTATCGTCAACTCACGGGCAACGGGAACAACGGGAACAATGGGACGGGATGATCATTGGGAGCGGGCCGCGTCGTTCTGGACGGACGGAAATCATTAGCTAATCGCCGCCGTTGATGCGTCGAGGCTGATGAGGATTTGACTCCGGGGAGGAGGATCTCAGTCAGCGAGGTGATCTGAGGGGACGCCGACGGTGGGAAACCACCGGCAGTGGTTGAGCCGGGCTGAGCCGACGACCGCGATCGGGCCACGTAGGGGCTTCGTGCGCCACCAGTCTGGGTGCGGAAAGGGAACGGAGCTGTTGGGTGTTTGGCGGCGTTTTGTCACTTTTTGGGTGTGGAGTTCATCTTTTAAAATGGTTTCGGGTGTGGAGTTGATGACACGGATCCACGTTTTGTTTCTTCATATTTAATAATTTGTTTATTTATAATCGGATTCATTCATACCAAACGCGGTATTGATCAGAATTCGGAAGTTCTTAATTATTATTGCCAACTTTCTCGGAGATGGAACTTTATCTTCATACTACATACGCAGACGTGATTGCGCAATGTCTTCTTTTCTCAGGCCACATGCTAATGCGTTTAAATACTATACTTGTATAGTGTTGGTATATTATGGCCTAGTGTAATTTTTGAGATGTAAATAATAGTGGGGCCCAGCTTTTCTTTGGTACTCCTCTATACGGCAATAGCTGGCGAACATTCCCGGGAAGGCACCTCCGGAGCGAATGAAACGTTAGAGCTAAGGATGGCAATGGGTCGGGTTTGGATCGGGTTGAACAATATCAAATCTATATCCATATTCATGAAGGCAGTCCCAGCCCATCCATGAAATATCCATGGGCGAAAAATTGTGACCATGTCCAAATCCGATGGATATCCATACCCATTGGATATCCATCGGGTCCTCTCAAGACCTATACATAAGACATAATTCATTGCACAATGTGCACTCTGCATTGGCGTGCTCACTCCCTGCCATGCAGTCATAGCCCTTGCGTTGTCCCACTGTTGCGGCCATGCATCAATGCGTGTGTGGAAAAGCAAAGACGGAGGGGTCAAGGAGATATGGAGCTGGGTTGTCGCAGGCCAATAGTGGCTGCTGCAGCGATCCACCTTACGTGGGGGTAGCGGCTGGCAGCGGCGGCCACCTCTAGGGCTATGAGAGGAGTAACTCAAGGAGATGGCACCGATTCTCAACAACAAGTCATTTAATTAGTGTAGATAATAGGATGAGAAGGTGTGTTGGAGTATGTTACGGTAGGGATTGTGTAATTTCTTTTGGATGTTTTAGATAAATGATAAAATTATAGTGGGACATGTGAATATGGGGTAGGTGTTGCAGAATATTGCTCGTTAAGTCAGATGATCGGGTCGGGTTTGGATATATCCATGGGTACAAGATTATGTCCATGTCCTATCCACGAGTAATCGGGTCGGGTTTGGGCGCTGCCCATGGGCGCAAAAGCATATCCAAACCCTATCCATTCGGGTTGGATATCCATGGGTATCCATGTCCATGGATAAAATTGCCATCCTTAGTTAGAGCATCTCCAGCTGTTGCGTTTCCAGGAGACATTTTTTCAGCTTCCTGAGATTGCGCAGGTGATAATTTTGCACTGGGATCGAAATATTCTCCAGCCGTTGCGTCCCCCGTCCCGCCCGCGCTGCGCCATCTAGGCCACGGCCGCGCCCTTCTTGACCTCCCGCATCAATGGAAACATCACCATGGCGTCCTCCACCGTCTCCTGCTCCTTCCCGACGACGGTGTCGCCGAGGCACCGCGCGAGGACGACGGCGTCCTCCTGCGTGACGCACGCGCCCTGCGCCGGGTCCAGAAGCCATGGCCGTCGGGGTACTTGGCGTGCCCCTGAGTGGCCCTGCGCCCCGAGTCAGACAGCTTCGCGAGCCCTCGCCGCACACGCACGCACCCTCGCCTCCCGCGCCCGCCCGCCTGCACGCCGCGCACGCGCACACCCTCGCCGTCCCGCCCACGGCTGTGCCGCGCCCGCCCGCCTGC